GGAAACGTCGGGACGTCGAAGAGAACGCGCCGCAACCCGTGGCGAGGGGATCGATCGCCGGTTCTTATTCTTTAAAATGGCTTCTGCTCTTCCTCCCCGTTGCCGACGCGTCCGGGGAGGTAATAAGAAGCAGCCGCGAGGATCGGGGACAAGATTTAAAGCGAGCGAATCGTTGCCGTATAAACGGCCAACGAATATACTGCCGTGCCCGGCCGGCGCTCCAATAACAATATACTTCCGGCTTTATCAATGCTATTTGTCTCCCGATTGAAAAGCCCGAATGAATTCAGAAAGGGCGGGCCGGCCTTAAGTCGAGACGAAGGACCCGAACGATCTCTGCGCAGGGACCGCTCTCGATTTACGAGCACCACGCGAAGACGTCGCTCCCTCGGATTTATATCTCACGAGGATTTCCTCCTACCGCGGATTAAACAGGCCAAATAAAGCGACGCCGGAGGAGAGGATACGGTTAAGGGAAATTCATTTTTCACCGGCGCGGCGCGCGTCGCGCGTGAGAAAAATTCGGTACACCGCCCGGCCGACGCGATCCGTCTTTCGGGGACACTTGAACCCGCGAAACGTATGAATAAATGGTTCGGCCCGGTTCGGTGAATCGCGCATGAATGCGATCCTCGAGCAATTTTCCCGCCAGCTGAACCGTTTTCGGTCTCTTTGTGTGTAAACGCGTTTCGGGGCACTGCTCGGAATATTTTAAACCGCGTTCCTTCGTGATGGATGGAACGTCTGCCGGGCGACGTGCTTTCGTAGGGATTGCTTGAAACTATGTTAATGGATTTAACGGGAAGTCGTTGGGCTGTTCCGGGGGTGTGTGAATAAATAATTTCTCGGTCGCTGGTAGCATGTGTGGATGATACAATGTTAATTGACGATAATGCGGGTTCGTCGCTCGACGATTTGCGTGATATTTTTTATGAGAGCTCCGTGTTCTTATGGTTCACTTTGACACCGGTGCTCGATCATGCGCATTGATTGTTGCAGGTAGAAATAGAGGCGGTGGAGCAGAAAATTTTCATTCTCCCGTGCGCCTCCCTGGCTCGAAGGACCTTCAGGGTTTTCAGTATCCCTGATGATTCTATCCGATCACATCGGTCATTCTCCTCTGGCTACCTCTTCCTTGGTATCTTTGATCCCTCTATCTCCTTTTCATTGGCCCTTGATCTACGAGGCTATTGAGATCTTCGAGGAGTTCTTTTGGACTCGCCTGAACCGTTGTAAGCTCCTGCGGATTATTATGGATTCTCGCGGATTTTTTGGAGATTCACGTAGACTTTCATGGACTCCCGTGGCGTCCTGTGTATTCTCGTCAGCGTTCGTGAACTCCCGTGAATTTTTCTGAACCTTTGTGCTACCTTGAGAATCATGTCGACCCCTTCAAATTTCTGGGAAACTCTGCAAATTTTTAATTTTTTTTCACTTTTGGAAACTAAAGTATTCAGGACCGAATCCTTTTTAATAACAGACAAAGATGATCTCAGTTTCCGTTCGACTGCAGTTTATTTCGTTCAAATTGACACGAATCAAATGAGAACACAGACGGAGGTAGTTATAAAAACACACTCGAATAAAACAAGTGTCGACGTTAATATTAACCCTAATCGGGCAACGATGTGACTTTGAGTCACATTTGAACTTTTTACTTAAATTTTTTGATCATTTCATATTGCGTTTCCAAAAGTTTTTCTGGGCTTTTAAAAGTTGGGCTCTACAAACAAATACAATATCATTTTGATCCTTTTATTCTCACAAGTGACTGACAGTCATATCGCGGTATTCATTATAAAAACACGTGGTGCGATTGGGGTTAAACTAAAATCGAATGTACACATACGTGCCAGTACCCCGAAGAGTTTAATATCCCCGTAGACTCTTGTAGACTTCCCCTAGGCACTGTAGAAACTTCCGACACTTCTAATCCTCAAGTAACTTCAAACAGCCTGTCTAATTTGCCAGACACCGGTTTCACGTATCAAAGTGTACTGCCGCTTGTCAGATATAATCACATAATTATTAAACACTACTATAAACGAATTAATCAACGAAAATGCCCGCAAGCAACAGTGATCGAAAGGTACGCGACAATCAAAGAATCCCCGCAGTAGCTCCAATCCAGGAATACGTTCCCAGCCGCGACAGTGTGAATCGATATCAGTGTTTAACGCGCACGCGGCGCGTCAAGTGCAGATTTCAATTTTCGGTTTCCGTGTGACACGTCGGTGATGATTATACGCGGGTGGAAAAGAGCCCGGCGTGCCTCGCGCCGTCGGATTTTTGTAAAAATTGCACGTTTCGGTGGCGTTGCCGTGGCCAAAGGAAATCCTCGGCGAAATTCAGCGGGCGGGGCAGAGATGCGAGGACCGCGAATGAACCTGTCTCGTTCAAAGGCAAAGACAGACGGCCGGCACTTTTTAATTAATGCATCCCCCGGGTTCTACCGACGCTTTCATTTTCCGTGCGTGACATTTGCGCCCGGCGAAACGGGTCACGCGGGGCCGGAGCACTTGACGAATCGCCTTCGCGATAAGGCGATTAGAAACGGCGCTGGACACCGTGTAACCATCCCGCGCCCCATCCTGCGTGTCGCCTGTTATTGAACACCCCTCGGCGCGACTCGATCCGTCCGCGGACGCGTTTCCACCTGACGTTTCGCCGGTGGGGAAAAAAAAAATGAAACTCCGAAAACGCTTCCCCTCGACGAAATACACCGCAGTTGCATCCAGCCATTCGTTTATTAACACTCCGACGCCCGCGCGCCGATCCCTCAGGCCCGATACTAAAAATCAATATTTACAGTCAAATTTTTCGCGCAACGAATTTGATTACCGGCTGGTCTGGGAGAAGCGAAAAACTGTGGATTGCGACGGACGTGTTTGCAGTTTTCATTCTTTTCAACCGGCGAGCCTTTTAGTCCTGCGAAACTCCTATGGAAACCGATTTCGAAGTATCACGCGGAAAGTTCGGGCGGAGATATCATAATTGATGACACCAATGCCGCTGTCGTCTTGAATATTTTACCGCCCCGAAAGTAATCTCGTTTCCGCGGAATACAACGGGATATTGGTCGAAAATAGTGACCGTGGCTGGCAAATATTTTCTGGGGCACAGCGATGTGTCGCTGATCGATATATGTACGACGGCGTCCGTGGAAACGACCCAGGAATTAGGGATCTCGGTAATCGTAGTCGGGTCACCGGTGGTCTACGGAGGGTATACATGTTGTTTTGACTGTAGATTACGGTATGATCCAGTTTAAAGGATGACAGGGTCTGTGTCAAAGGCGCGAACTGGAAATACAGTTTTCATTCGCCCCGGAGGGGTCTCGTTCTTAAGGGACAGGCTTATGAAAACTCTTAGGGATGGAAGCGTCAATCTTTGTAGATTATTCAAGAGTCTCTGAATAAACCGCGGGTCGAGTCGAAACGCACGGACGCAATTGAGAAAGTGACTCTGCAAGAATGGATCCGTATTGTAAAATAAACCGAGGCGGTAGATATTCTTCTCCGCGAGCCTGGACATTTCCTCGAAATTCAAGTCTTGTGCCCCGGCATAATCCCTGAGGTATTCGTATTTAAAAATAGGTCAACCGTGCATGTGCGGCCACGAAACGAACAACGGTGTCTCGCACGGAGAAAGCGAACGGCCGGGAAATCGACGCGAAATCACCGGTGCCGTTCATCGAATTTCAAATATGCAAATACATTTACGAGTGATTTCGACGCGTGTATCGTTTTAAGTGCGTTATAATGCACCCCAGGGTCCCCCGTCCTCGGGGCGGGGTTGACGGTTCCCCGAGTTTCGCATACATTACGCGCCGTCTCAATAATTCTTGTTTACTTCTCGGGGTATTTACCGGCTGAAGCAATTAACGGGAAATTAACTTGAATATGCATCCCGCGCGCATTAGGAAGACGTATTGTTCGTCCCGCGGCTTCGCCGAGTAACTATGCAAAGCGTCACGCGAAACTGATTACACCGGGAAATCGCGTTCCCCCTCGCGGCGGAGGGAACGAAAGAAAAAAAAGGAATGGCCGCGGTTCCGAGAGAAATCAATTTCGAAAATTCGTACCGCAAACGCGCGGTGAATCGGCAACGAGCCCTGATTCCGCCAGGATTTTGGCATACGTCCCCATCCCGGTTCGTTCGTATTTGTATTTCTAATTCTCGCCGGCCGCGTTTGTGTACAGGAAGTATTCATCCCCAAGATAAGAATGTTGAGACGGCGGCGCGGCAAAGAATGGGAACAGGTTCCGAAGTAGAAACCGTGGATGCGCCTCGAGTGGAAAATTAACCGCTAAAAAGACTGGGGACGGCAGATAGTCGGTGTTAGCAGGGAAACGTTTAATCCCAGAATGCTTCTTCGCCTCGAGAATCCTAAGAGATTCTAATCGAAGTGGGTCTCGTTTGCCGGGTAATTGAAAGTCCGAACGACCTCGAGTGGATAAACATTTATTTGCCCGACCCGGGGCCGTTCGCGTTCGATAAATTAACCGAAACTTCGTTCCTCCGGCGCGTGTTTTATTAACGAGACAGGGCCGGCCCCGATAATTTATCATCGTGCGTGGAGCAAAATGAGATCCCCGTTCCGCGGCCGACGGAGTCTCCACCCTTCCTTCTTCCACCGCGTTCCGTTCCACCAGCCTTCGAATTTCTCGCTCGCTCGCCGATTAAAGCGGCTCGAAATCGCGGAATTATTAAATTGTAAAATATTAACCGGCACCGAGTGCACTAACGGTTCGACCGTTCCCATGACATAAATATCGCAATTTTTCTAGTTCCCTCGTCCCGCCGCGCGCCGCGCCATCTCTCCAGCTCCGATTCCCGGCTCGCGATAAATCACGCGCGGATCACTTAAAACGCGCTTTTATCCCCCGGCGGCGCGAGGAGGGGAAAAAATCCGACCGATCGCAGGCAACTGTAATTGAAATCGATCGATCCCCATCGCGCGACGTTTCTATTAACGCCTGACGCGGTGTTTGTTTCAGATGAGACGTGAAGCCCAGCTCCCGCCATTTTGTTTCTTGCTGCCGGTGCTGGTGTCGATCGCCTCGACCTGCATCCTGCCTGTCGCTGGCTATAAGGTAAGCGTCGGAGCAACTTCACAGGATTTCATGGAAAATACAGTGACTTTGTTCCCTTCGAAGTTGTCGGAGTGGTTCCTTTAAATATAATGAATAAGTTAAGAGCTGCATAGAGTCAACTGACTCGCTTTCGTTATATAAAATTGAAACTCTTTGTCGTATGAGAGAATATTTTGAACGAGCCTCGCGTTTCGATTAGTTCATATTTAAATTAACAGATTCATTAAAGAATTATAAGCACCAAGATTCAAAATGAAAGATATTTACATCCATTTATACTATTCGCCAATTACACCCGACTCGCGTTAAACCGAAGCTCGATTACTGTCGCGCGTTAAAACTAAATTTATGTCAGGCATGTCTCAAATATAACTGAAAGTATAGCAATCGCAACTCGTTCGAGGTACAAGTTATTTGCTATAAACTCTGGGACATTTTCCGAACATTAACCATCTGTAACGATACAACCGTTTACCGGTTATGAAAGTTGTTATGGGGTGGAACTCCGTTTAACCAAACTTCCAGTAACCGTGTACGCTGACCACGGTGCATCCTCTTCGACTCGTTGTTCTCGTGTTGTGCGCGGAACACAAACTCCTATTGTAAACAAGAATCCCTAATCTTTAAGCCGACCTCCCGCCCCGTGATATCGTTTAACGTAATTACGCCGATCAAACGCGGGAATGTTTATGGCGTTGTCTACTGGAAAGAAACGAAAGCGGCGCGACCGTGAACGAGGAACGAAGGGAGCATGGGAATAGATCCGTTCCACGCTGAAGCTGTCTACCTGAACGCCTACCTGCCCGTCTGCCACGGAAACGCACAATATTTCTGTAGACAGATTTATGTCTCAACCTGGCGCACCGCACGAAATCCTTTTTCCCCTGTGCTCTGTCGACTTCCTTTCTTTCTCTTCTTCTTTTCTTTTTTTGCTCCTTGGAAAACGGCGAGCTAT